ATGTATCAAATAATTAGCCAAGGCAAATCATAACTCAAAGTATAATCTTGCAAAATTATATCATTGTCTAAAATTAATTTTTCAAAATTATTAGACAATTAAACAACACGTGAATTGATACTGCAAAATTTTCCTCATATTAAAATAGCCAAAAAAAATTTAAATTGGCACATAAACAAATTGATAAAATATAAAGATAAATATAATATTTGAAATAAGTCACGTAATCCAAAAATCATTTATTTATCTCAAATTAATTTTCTGAAATTTGATAAAAGTGTCCAAACAATTTTCAAAAAATAAATAAATAAAAAGAGTTTTCGGCCCAAAATTTCAAAAACTGCAATAGTCTCTTTAGCCCAAAAAAAAAATCCAAAATAAGGCATGAATTAAAACGAAAAATTTTAAGCCAATCGAGTTTTATGTGCAACGACATTCTCCGACCACGGCCACGGGTTCCGACGATGAGTTCGATGGTGACGATGAAAAAGTGTTCTCGTGCATCTCTAACCAACGAGTTAAAGGTTCGAAGTCATTGTAGAATCCAGAAAAGGAAACAGATAAAATTAAACAGCAAGGCAAGGTTCAAGAACTAACTCTGACATCTTAGATAAACTGGAGTCATGCAACATGCCTACTATGTCTAGAATAATAGCGGAAAGACTTAACATATCTCTTGCTGGATGGCTTAGTACGGAGCTCATCTTTACAATCTTAATTGAGAACTGAAATAGAAGAGGCAAAACCAATCCGTAGAGATAGATGGTGGAGGGATTCTTTTGACTCGCAGTAGGGCACAATGATTGCAACTGGTAAAAAAATCTTTACTAACTAGAGAACCCTCAAAGAGCGTAATAATTGAACAAAACCCAGTCTAATCATTCATATTTATAACTCACCATCAAGATCATTTAATCTGGTTAATTATTAGATTGAGATAAAATAATAATTTAAATGAAATCAACTAATTATCTTTGGGCCACAATCAGAATATTTTGTTATCCAAATGACATCCTATTACTTAATTATATCCAGAACATTAGATTCATGTGAAATAACATATAATTGATATGATGAAATAAAAACATAAGAAATTGATTTCAAGCATGAAAATAACAGTGAAATTTAAAAAAAAAAAGGTTATGTAAGACATAGGAATATCATTTTCAAAAATTCTTAGACAAATTCAGTGCATCACGTTATCCATGATCCATCTCATAAAATTGTGAGATTCAGATGATATTGAATATAAATTAATTTTATTATTAATAATAGTAGATAAAGAAAATGCAACAAATTAAATAAGCATTCTATTATAGAAATAAAATTATTAAAATAATAATACATAAAATTTTATTTGATTAAATTTGAATAATTTTATTAGATAAATGATGGATGATATGGTATACTTGATCCATCTAAAAATTTCTCTATAATGTCAAAGAAATGGCTTGGCATCTGGCATGCCTCAAAGCCATTAGCTAGCGATGAGTTTTACATCCAAAGTAGAAGACTTTTTTACCACATAAGTTGACTTTTCTCTTTGGCAACCTCTTAATGACTTGGAGTTTAAAAATAGTTTTTTTCTACAGTCATAACTTACATCATATATTTTTTTTTGTAATTTTTTTTAAATTTTCAGATTTTTTTCTTTCTTTTTTCAACACGTAATGTGATAAGTTGTGATGTAATTGTTTAGTATTTTAAATATGAAATTAATAGATAGAAAATGACACTGATTTGTTGGCGGTTAAACACGGCATGGCACAACTTGCGAATGTTTAAATCCAAATAAACTGGACGATAATGGGCTCTTTTTAAAAAAAGAGCTAGTGCAACTCAGCCTGCGTGAACCCTTTTTTTTTGTTTTTGGCAATTTTGTAATTTTCCTAAGTCCATTTTTTCTTGCTGTGTGCCTCTCGCCATGAAACTGAAACCCTCTTACTTAGTCCTCGGCTGCTACCCTCCCTCGGTCTTGATTTGAAGATTTTGCGTCTCAAGTGGAGCTTTGAAATTATTAGTCGAGTTTGTGTCGTGCTGCACCCCCAAGGCTTCAACTTCATCTCTAAGAGCACGCATCACACTTCAGCTTCCACATTCTATAGTTCGACAACAGAAGAGGAAGCCTGAAGATGACTTCTCCGATTGTCCTTTTATGTTTTTCCGACCCTCGGTGTAGCTCTCTTCGCTCCCCTGCTTCATTGCTATCTTTGTTGAAAACTTGAAAGCACAACTTCGAGACCTAGAGGGAGGCAGGGATCAGCAAAGAAGACTAATCGATTTCTAGTTCCAACATTTACTCGGCTCATCTGATTAATTGTTTGAGTATTATATTAACTTCTTTTTTATTGGGTGCGTGCTTTTTTTCTTTAATTTTTTTTTTTCCATTTTCCTGTTACTGGGAATCTGATTAAGTATTATATTAACCTTAATACTGAATGATTCTTGAAGTGGAAAAAAAGGGGAATAAAACTATCATTTTGATTTGTTTCATTAATTATTTAAATTACATCCAATTTTGAATTTATCACAAATTCATTCTTTTTAAAATGAAAAAAAAATAGAGGGAGACACTAAAAATTAAATGGTATGAAAAATTAAATAGGATAAAATTAGAATATTGAACCTATTTATGGAGCTTTTGTTGCGAGTTGTGATGTGGTTATTTGGCCAATTATAGTCATGGTCGTGTGAAAATGAGTTAAAATTATATTATCAAGTTTTATAATATGTATAGCTTTTTTTTTTAGAATTTTTTCAAAAAAACATATATTATGTAAGCTGGCCCACAGGCTTACTAGCACATATACATGTGAGTTGGGCTGAATTTTTTTAACCCCAATTTTTGTCAGGCTGGCCTAACTTTGCCAGCAAAAAGGCCATCCGGCAACCCAAATTTTTGGCTATCCTAGCCAATCCTTTTTAATTTCATTTAAGTGAAGGATTAGGTTTGTATTTTATATCCATCAATACTTAATTAGGCTTAAATGGGTTGACCTTCTAGGGTTAAGGTGATAGATCCATTTAAGCTTGTCTATACTTTTTATGTAAAATTATTAATATTGAATGAATGATGAGGGAGATGATTTAAAAATGGAAAAATTATTTCCATAATAAAAAAAAATCTTGAAATTTTACTACTTGAAAACCAACTCATAGTAAAATATAATCAAATATTATTGATATTGGAGATAATAGTGATAAAGATGATAATGTTGTTATTATTTAATTAACATTTGGAAAAGATTTATTTAACTCATTTAGTTTTAGTTGGTTTGATTTTGGGAATTTGAACAATGATTTTGGAACTCTAATGAATTGATATTCAATATTTTTATCTAATTTATTTTATTCTATATATCTAATTTAAAAAAATTAAAAAGGCTTGAGGCCTCAGTTGGCACTGAGCCCGCGAACTGTAAGGCCCGGCCTTACACATCATGATTTAAAAAGGAAAACAAACGTTTCAAACCCAACCACTCAAGCTTGCCAAGGATTGTTTCTTTGAAGTTAGGTTGGCCCGTTTTCCAATCTCGGCCGATGGTATGCAATACATTTATGTTCATTTAACGGTTTTTAGGATGGGGCCAGATTTCAATAAAAAAGAAACTTAACAAAATAAAAGGACCGAAATGAAGTACACTACATAATGAAATTTAAAGCATCATAAGCGTATTTTGCTACATAGAAATTAAAGTATTAAGGATACTGATTATAATTTCTTAGCCACGGGTTTCAATTTACTAGAGTGAGAAATAAGAGAGATATTTTGAACTAACCAAAACTTTGTGAATTTACATACAAAGTGGATAATGTTTAAAGCGGGAACACTGTAGAAAGTACAAACACTTTGTGAAAAAGGGGTAGACGAAACGCCCCCTCCTCCCCTCCAAAACTTAATTTTATCTGTTTGTAATTTAGTTGATGCTACTTTTAAAGCGCAAGAAGTTAATCTTTTAAATTCCTGCTTATGTAATCTTGCACATACTTATTTAATGAATTTCCACTTCCATTACAAAAAAAAAGGGGGGTTAGACGAAGGAATTCTTAAAAATTAAAATACAAACCTTTTTCTAAGCAGGACCCTGCATCCAGAGTTACGACTCACGAGATACAGTTTTGGCAAAAACAAAGAAAAGAAATAATAATCTCATCAATTTATTTTTATATTAAAAAAATAACTTCACTGTCATTTTATGTAATATTCTATCAAAAAGAAGTTCAAGTCTTCCTATGTACACCACGTGGATTTTGAAATAAATTGCATTATTGTAACATGAGAACAATACATTTAATTTGGACTGTATCATATATATATATATAGATCTTGATTTACGTTCGACAAAGATACCGCATTTATTAAAATTAATTCTTAAAGGTTAAATTCAGGGATATTGTAACTTCTAGGCCATGAAATTTATTTCAGATATTAATTTGATCATCTAAATTTAATTTTTATCAATTTAATCTTTTTAAATTTATTTCAATAATTGATTTGGTCATTATTATTTTTAAAAGATATTACATCGCTAAATTTTATTGACATAAATAACAAAATATTGATAATAATTATATAAAATAATGAAAATAAATATAATTGTTAAAGTTGGAAAAAAGAGACTCCAAAATTTTAAATTTTAAAATATAAGAGAATTGTAAGAAATTATATTAATAAAAATTAAAATAGTTTGAAAGTTAATTTATTTTCACATAGCTATATACACATGCCACTCATCAATATAATTTATACACTATATTATTTGGAGAGTTAATTTATGTTTTAAAATTTAAAAAACTCACATATTAATTTTTTAAAAAATAAAAAAATCAATATAATAAAACTTAAATTTAAGAAACCAAACGGATAATTGAAAAAAAAAAATTGAAAGACTAAAGTTTCATCATCCCTTAAATTTATATTTAAATGGAATATGAAAGATTAAGTAGACTTGTAATGAATTTGCTTTGTTTTTTAAAAGCGAAGGGTAGTGGCCAAAAAGTGAAAAAGAAAACGGATGGCTAATAATTCAAAACTAAAAAAGAACACAGGGACTATCCTGGGTTTAGAGGCTGCACCCATAAATTCACATGACCACCCTCTCCAATTAGTACAAATCAAATTCGAAAGCAAAAAGCCCCGCAGGAAATTAATAACCAAGAAGGATCGTCAGGAAACGCAGCCACTGGGGACCAGGCACCTGGAAATGAATCCCAGCATTCTACCCTGCCACGCCACATTCCAAAAAAACCATGAGACGAATGAATGCATCCTTCTAATCTACCAATGAACACGCATATGAAAAATATATGAATGAATGAATGAATGAATGAATGAGAGCAAAGGAGATAGAGACCCGCTTGGGAGTGCGAAGGAGCTCGGGAGGGATCTGATAGAGATCCTGGTCCACGGGCTTCGGCCGTCTCGGCGGCGGCTCCCTCACGTCCCACACCTTCCCTTGCTTCTTCACATTCATGTTCCCGTTCTCCTTCACATTGGAGCTCCTCTTCCTCCTCGCCTGCGCCCACACACACGTCCCCATTCCTCTTCTTGTTAATACGAAAACCCATAGCTACTCTGAGGTTCGAGGATAGACGGAACGAACCTTTTTAGGAGGCGCGTGATTCTTAGAATCGAGGGCGTAGAGATCGCTCTCTCCCGACGACGAGCTGTGACGAACCAGGCCCGCCTGCCTGGCGCTCTCGAAGTATTGAGTGATGGGCAGCTCGTTCGCCAAATCCCAGTTCCCGAATGCCGGTATCTGATCGCTCCTCTTCCATTCCTACAACAATTGAAGTCAGCCCTCAAAAACATTTTCTAGAATAAATAAAAAGGGATCGAAACCGGACTAACTCACGACCATTTTGGGGGAGTGTCACTGTGACTGTGAGGCAGAGCTAGTTTCTGCTTTCTGGGATGATTTGCAGGGTTCAAGTGTTTAACGGCTTGCCGGCGATTGCGTCTGCGTGGTTTGGAAGCAGATTTATTAACGAGGAGGTGAATCCCGAGACGGGACGTGGTTTGAAAAGAGGGAGAAAGCAGGGAGGCGGCGAGGAAGACGGGTTTGGCATGTGGGGGTATCGGGGAAAGAGACAAGGGTCAAAGCGTCGCTGACTGGGAATGGGAAGGCCAGACAACCACATCGGGGAGGTCACCTTTTGGTGTTATTGTCAAAACTTTGACGATCTCACCGCCCAAAAGTCAACACCACACCCCTTTGTCTCACTGGCTCGTGGGGCCCGCACTTCACCCTCGGTAAGGGGCAGCTGGGGAGTCATCAATTGCATAATGAGCGTTGAAAATGAGGCATTGGATAAGAAATGCGACTTCATTTCAGCTAGAGTCGGTAATTTGAAAATTTGACTCAAGTGGAACTGACTAACCCAACACACCCAAAAAGTTTAGAATCAAATTTAAAAAATTAATATTTTTTTAATATTTGTGCTTATTTTCACAATTTGAATAAATTTAAAAAAATTCAAAGTCAAATTTAAATAGATTCAAGCTTAACCTAGCTATCTAATTAAAGGAATAAATTTCGTTAAAATATAATAAATATTCATTAATTTTTTAAATTTTATATCATTTTATACTAGAATATCATATATTTCAATGCATTATTATAGTTATTTTTAAATATTTTTTATTTTTATTTTTTATTATTTTTAATCAATAAAATATCTTAAAATAATATTTAAAATATATTTTAATATTAATTTTTATATTTTAAGATCCATTTTTTTAAAAAAATTGAGTCTCATACATTATTTGTTATCTAAAAATATACATTTTATATTTTTATAAAATAAGATAATTAATTTTAAAGTAAAAATAAAATTAAAATAATTTTAAAAATAAAATTTGAGCATGAAAAAATTCCTGATTCTACTACTAAATAAAATAATAAAATATATTTTTAGATAATTATTTCGTTATTATCTATATTAGATTTAGTTAAAAATTAAGAATAAATTAAAATAAATAATCCTTAAATGTAGAGGTTAAATAATATAAAAATTTTTAAAAAATAATTTTAAAAAATAATATTTTACTCATAATTAAATGATTTTATTTTATATAATATAATGATAGCTATTTTTCTCATATTTTTTTTTAAAGCACAGTTTATCAAAAACTTATTAAAAACTTTGAACTAATTGAGACAACAATTTTAAGTTAGTAATTTAACTATAATTTAATTGAGATTAATTTGATCATAATTAAAATAATTTAATTTAATTAAAATCTATAAAATATTTATATATAACCATAATAAGAGTAATATTTAAACAATTAAGATATTAATTTATAAGTAAAGAAAATATTTATGAATAAATTATACATAATATAACAAAATAGTAATAGAGCTACTTAAATACAAATTTAATAAGTTATTATTTTTTATTTTATCATTTTAAATTTAAAATAATATTTCATAGTTAATAGAATTATTTAAAAAATAAAGTTAGTTCAAAAAATAAATAAAAAATATTTTTTAAAAAATTTTAGGTATTCAAGTCAATTCAAATAACCCTGAAGGTGTTGGGACTGGGTTTATCTACATGGCCTTTTTAAGAAATGATAGAATATTTTAAATTCGATCCGAATTAAATTCATCTAATTAAAACTGACTCGCTTGCATCACTAACTCTAATTTCAGGATTTTGGATACAATCAGCACGCTCCCCTGCTCATTGCTCAATATACTGAAAAATAAAAGCTCAGCCCTCTTTTATTATAACACAAAATACAATGGAAAAGCCAGTTGAATAATATAGAGCATTTTTTATCAATTTTATTTAATTTAAAATATGGTTATTGTTTTCTCCTTCAGCTTTTGTTTTTCTCGGTATGGGAGAGAGGAATCTCTCCTCTTCCTTCCCATCTTCTTTTCCTCCTCTTCTTAATTCTAACCATTGAATCAAAATTTTTAGATTGTATAAATTTAATCTCTTATAAAATATTTGATTTTTTTTGCTTTTACTGCATTTTTAACTTGTTCATATTAACATTTATCATTTTAAATTTTATTGTTTATACGTTTTTATAATTTAATATTTTAATAATAATTTTATAGGAAATTAAATTTCAATCATCTAAGTCTTGATTGAGAAAAAAAAAAAGAATGGGAAGTAAAAGGAGAGAATCCTCTCCCCATTAAAATTTACATCTAACATGCATGCTTGGGTTTTGGTTACAGGACGTTGGCATAATCATGACTTTCTTTTTATTTTTTAAAACTGTAAAATGTCATACATTTTAAATCAAAAATAGCTTGAAAGAATGAAAAATAAATGTTCTGAGTACTCCCTGGGCCCAAGCCCTACCCACCTTGGACTTGTGGATGAGAGGTTCAAAAGAGATGTGTGTGGGACAGGCCTATTTCCTTGGTTCCTCATCAGAGACCACGCCCAGTATTGTCTGGCCCAGCGTTTCTTGATAAATTATCACACCCTCTTCTGCTCTCTCATTCTCTCCCTTTTATTTATTTTTTATATATTGTTGCAATAATAGTTTTATAAAATAATAAATTTCAACCATGTAATTTTTTTTATCTAAAGGTGGGGATGGAATGAGAGGAAAATGAGAAAGAGTGAATATGAGAGAATCTGGATTTGTTTTGTCTACAATTCTTGCCCTCTAGCTCTTTGCAGAACATGGTCAAAATGCATAGATTTGGCTCAAAAACACTAGGTTTGTTATCTTTAAATCTTACTATTTCGTCTAATTTAATTACTCTATCTGTTCTAAATACAAGACGTTTTTATCTAACACATTTATTGAGAAAACTATAGTAGTTAGACAGTTTTTTTTTTTTTTAACAGATATAGTAGTTAGACAGTTGAAATCTCTTTCTTCCCCTCAATTTTACTCTGATGTTAATCTTCATAGTTGATTATTTATTTACGAAAGGAGGCAAGAATTTTTAATATATTTTTGTGATCCTTTTAAGTTAAAAAAAAAAAAACTAATCGCACCTAAAGTTCAATGCAAAAATCGCACGTATTGGAGTGTAAAACTTTGGGAAAGCATATTTGCATGTTCTCATACTTTACCTCAATTTTGAATTAGATTCATGTAATCTCTTTTGTTTTAATTCAACCCTTGTCATTTTTATCCACTTGATTTTGGAATCCCCAAAGGTAAAATCCTTAAATTTTTAATTTCAAAAAATAAAATAAAAATGTTTTATATTTTATTAAAAGATTTAGCATTGATGTGTAATTTAAATCTTGAATTATAGGTTTAAGGATAATTTAAACTAAACTTTAAAAATGTGCATTATAAATCTTAAATATTAAAGTTGGAGTAATTTCTTTCTCACAGTTAAATTTTAATAAATGTTTGTTAGTTTTTTAAAACTTGAGGCCTAATATGTGATTTTCACCTAATGCCACACTCTCTCCTACCCTTGTTTGATAAAAATTACATATTAGGCGCCATTTTAATGGATGTTTGTTTAAATTTAATGATGGAAGCGAAATTACTTCATCTTTAATTATTTAAGTTCAAAATGTACCTTTTAAATGTTTAGAGTTCAAATCACTCCTGGATCTATAGCTTAGGGTTTAAATTACATATTAATCCAAAGATTTATAATTAATTACATAATATTTATAATTCCAAATTCATATATTTAGATTGTTTTCTAGATAATTTTTATACATATTGAATTGTCATAAAAAATTAATAAAAATATAAACATTATATTAAATCAATTGTTCTATGATTTTGACCAAAATTGTTAAATCATGTTTTCTATAAACTCCAAAAGTGTTCTTATTTTGGAAAAAGTTAATAATTCATTACTAATTTTAACCTTCAAGAATTGGAATATCTAATTGATCACATTATAAGGATTTAATTAAAACAAAATAAAATATGGGGACTTAATTTAAATTAAAAAATATGAGAATATTACGTATTAATTTTTCCTAAAACTTTTAAAGAATGTTATATGTTTAAAATGGAGTGATATTTGTTGCACCTTATTTCATAACTTGAATCCAACTCATGCGTTATAGGAGGCTTTGCCACGTATGTTATTCGGTTAGATGGAAGGGAAACCCTTTTACTTGCACGATAATTCCATAGATTGTGTGAATGGATCGTGTGAAGTGTGAAGTCACGCTTTTCTTATCTCTCATTTCAAACATCCGCATTTGGCTGGCAACAATTGTGGTGCTCTATTTCAATTTAAATTGATTCTTGTCACTCATTTAAATTAATTTTTACATATTTGTAATATTATATTTATTAAAATAAAAAATATAAAAAATTTTAATATTAAAAATGAACTATTTAAAGTATATTTAAATGATTAATTTATAAAATTTATAAATTTTTAAATATTAAGTTAGGTCATCTGAATTATATTTGAAGTGTCCAGAGTCTATCTGAATATTCAAATTATAAAATTATAAAAAAAATTAATATTAAACTGAACTACGAAATTAAATATGAACTAGTCAGATTGATAATAAAAAAATTTATTAAATTTATCAATTTTTTTATATTAATAAATATAATATTTAAAATAATTTAAATGAATGATAGGGATCAATTTGGATAGAAATGAATGATTAGAATTGCTCCTAGTGAGCACCGAATGCAAATCCCTAGCTTTAATTCAAATGTCCAGTGGTAAAAAACTAAAATGGTAACTATTATGGCACAGGGATAATAATAAGTGCGTATTTTAGAATTAAATAAGCTAATGGCCTTACAATCTAGTGGCATGAGAACTCCCTTGTAAGTGGGGGCATCACGGATTTGATCACACTTATAAGTTGTAACCTCAGACTATTAATGCTTACCTCTTAAATTCAAAAAAAAAAAGAATTAAATAAGGGAAGATTTCATTTCAATAGCATTCACCGCATGAAACTTGATAGTAAAATACGAACTAAACAAAGGAGATGGCACAAGTTTAGTGCTCAATAGTTAAGACATCACTAATTTTTTTTAACTCTATTATTATGCCCTGTTGTCATTTTGATGGAGTGATTAAATTATTTATGGTTGCAACTATGAGAATTAGCTCTATAAATAGGCATAATAACCAATAATTCAAGCCAATCCAAAAAAA